CAAGTTCACACTCGCCATCAGTTCAGTAGGGAATGAAGCAGGTAGCAGCGGACCAGGCCGAACGGTTCTTGGGTGTCCAAGTTGCACTGGGGGATTGTACATCATCGCAGGAAGTTATACTACAAGAAAAAATCAACAAGAGAGTTAAGAGTTGGGGCAAGGCGATGCACCTCTCCCTTATTGGAAGAATCTTGGTCATAATGGCCTCAGCTTTTGCTCTTTTGTGGTATGTTGCGGCGGTGCGGACATTCTCTACCCCCATGTTGAAAACAGTTAAGGCTACAGCAAGGAGGTTCATCTGGAAACCATATGGTGAGGAGAGACAGGGCTACATATCCAAGGTAGCCTGGAACACATTGTGCAGGCCAAGGAATGAAGGAGTTCTAGCCCTGATAGACCCAGCAGCGCAAAACACAACATTAATGACTAAATGGGTAGTCCGGGTGGCAGAAGCAGAGGAGGTGGTTGACTGGGTATTACTGGCAGAGCAGTTGTTGTCCAAAGCGTGGGATCTGTCGCGCCCTTCGGATGCATGGGTAGCAATGATGACAGATACTTATGCGAGGAAACGACCGAAGACTAAGTTTTGGAGCGAAGTTCTGCAAGCCTGGAAAAGTTGCAGGCCCACCGTGAGTTCCCAACCGAGGTCCAAGGAGGACGTAAGACGCCAGCACCTATTTGAAAACAGCCACACAATCAATTTAGAGGGTGACTGGTTTTCGCTGGAGAGGAAGTCGGGCTGCTTTGGGCAAAGTTGGTTGAAGAAAGGTGTCTCCGCGGTGGGACACATGTGGGATGATGCTACAAATCAGTGAAAATCCTCCTCTCAACTCAGGCTGATGCTCGGTCAACTCCTGTTGCAGGAAGCACGTATGATGCAGTTGATTCATGCTATACTACAAGCATGAAAACAACTGTTGGGCCCATGAGGATGCGATCCCCCTGGCACATGGTATGTAAGACAGACGGAGGAGCCTGACCGGTTCTGCAGATTGGAAAGTTGGACAGAGGACCAATCACGCAAGTGCTGGTTGGAGACTTACAGTCGGGCACTCCCGAACCTCCGTACTCTAGTAAGAATGGGAATGCGCTTACAGTATCGTATGTCTGGGTTGAAGAAGATCCGTGTCAGACTAACCCCTGCAGCGGAGGAGGGAGAGATGGTTAACAAGTGCATATATTTTCAGGTCTCCTTTTCAGGCAGTTCAACCACTTTAGGTTACTACACCACTTTCAGATTGTGTGTGGATCTATACATGGGTTTGTCTGAAACCGCCTTCAGGAAATTTTGCCACTTCAGGTTGATACACCACTTTCAGATTGCCTACAGATCCATTGCAAATGGTGGGATGGGGGTACCTGAAACCCCTTTCAGAAGCTTCAAGCACTTCAACAGTTTCAGGTCCCTACCTGAAATTCCTAAAATGACCTGAAGTGGTTGATTTCAGAAGCTTCAGCCACTTCCGCGGTTTCATGTCCCCACCTGAAATTCCTTAAATGACCTGAAGTGGCTAAAGTTTTTGAAAGAGGTTTCAGGTAACCCCATCCAACCATTTGGATGGGGGTACCTGAAACCCCTTTCAGAAGCTTCAGCCACTTCAACGGTTTCAGGTCCCCACCTGAAATTCCTGAAATGACCTGAAGTGGCTGAANGATGGGGGTACCTGAAACCCCTTTCAGAAGCTTCAGCCACTTCAACGGTTTCAGGTCCCCACCTGAAATTCCTGAAATGACCTGAAGTGGCTGAAGCTTCTGAAAGGGGTTTCAGGTACCCCCATCCAACCATTTAGATGAGGGTACCTGAAACCCCATTCAAAAGCTTCAGCCACTTCAACGGTTTCAACTCCCCACCTGAAATTCCTGAAATGACCTATAATGGCTGAAAATACAGGCAGGAAAAAAAAAAACCATAAAAAACTTGTCCTGCAAACCACCCGAAACTTATGAAATAACATGAAGTGTCTTAAGGCCATTTCAACAGTTTCAGACCACTTCAGAATCTTTCATTCTGAAATTTCAAGTGGTCGTTAACCGCAAGTGGGAGGAGGGGCTTCCGATGATTCCGGTTCTGGTGGGAAATGAAACCTCGACGGGAAACTGGTGACAGGGCTCGAGAACCTGAGTGCGGCCTTAGTTACTAAAAGGAAGTGTGAAAGAGCTCCTATTTGCGAACAAGTGGCTGAACGATGGACAAGAGAGCTGCCCAATCTGGCTTCTCCGACTGAAGAGGAACTCACCAAGTTGTGGACTCAACTGCGAATTATCCCATCGCAAAAGCTTGCTTCCTTACTGTGGCTGCAGTCCCATCTTACAGTTCCAACTTCACAGTGGCTGATTAACAGGGAAATGGAAGTTAGAGCGGCTTGTGACAGATGTCAGGAGGAGGAGGAGTCAGTCCTGCATTTGTGGTGGGACTGTCCTCGCTTCAGGAAGTGGTGGAGGTGGTGGGAGTTTCACTGGAAGAGGTTTGCTGGCAAGTCTGATTTGCTGGGGCAGAGGTGGGTTTTGTTAGCCACAATGAAGGCTGGGGATATATTGCTCAGGTGGGAAGGGCGATGATGTTGTGCATCATCTGGTTGAACAAAAACAACATCAGGTTTCAGGGAGAGAGTAATTCAGAGACGCAAGTAGAGGCAGTCTTCAAAACCTTGTTGGCAGCGGCAATTAGAGCAGACTGGGCCTGAAAAGGGGCACAGGCAGGCCAACTGTCGGGAACCAGATGGTTTTTCCGCACATGGGGCCTGGGCTTGGCTCATGTATCAACGGAAGGCAGACTGGTATTGGGGAATTGGATAGAGGGACCAGGGGGGACAGCATGAGTAGTGGCTAGAACAGAATTAACTCGGGTTGGGTAGCCGGCCCGCTCCTTGAACCAGGACACTCGGTTTCAGTGGGTGGTCGAAGTGGACCACAAGGGTAGGGTGGGCAGGAGAGTGTCAGGTCCAACTGAAAGGAACAATGGTTCCTCTGGACCGAGTTAAGGTCGAGGTCTGGACCGCGGTAGGTCTGTGCTTAGTATAGAGTTGAACAGGCTAGGGTTGGTTAGGGTAGGTTGTTTCGGTTAGGTTAGTGGGGCCCGTGGTTGAGAGTAGGGAATTAATAGTCGCAGTTTGGACAATTGCCTACGATGAAAGAGTGTTGATGATGACCTTTTAAACCGCCAGTACCTCGGCCAACCATTTTTTTTTGTCACGACCGTATACGCGCCGCGACTTCCGGTGGTAGGCCGGCGGGGGACCGGTAGGTAAAGCGAAACAACAACAACAACAACAACAACGAGAACGAAAAGAAAAGAAAAGAAAAGAAGAAAAGAAAAGGAAAGAAAAATAATGAATGTCACGGCGTCTTGGGGAGAGAGAGAGAGAGAGAGAGAGAGAGAGAGAGAGAGAGAGAGAGAGAGAGAGAGAGAGA